TTTGGACAAATATTTTATGGGTGGGAAACAGTAAGGTTCGAACCATAACAGACCATACCTTGAGAATTGCAACCCATAAGTAAAAAAATAGGACCAAGGACTGGACCAACATTACAATTGGTCGGTTTAGTTTGGTCCGGTCCAAATATCAATAAGTCTTATTTTTCTTCAATATTTATAAAATTCATAGAACCATGGATCGGACCACACTATATTTGGTCGGTTTGGTGCATTATTGATCTTGGTTTGGTCCGGTGAGGTGTGCTGTTGAACAACCTGTTGCACACCCTACCATATTGGGTCGGGTTTGATACAATTTTGTTGGCCAAAAGAGAAAAAACTATGAAGCTTTATTTATTTTTTAGGCGGGTATCAATTAAATCTTTCATTGTACGAATTCATCATCGTGAATTCATTGTCACTTCTCCTTAATTCTTGTCTTTTCTCCGGCTTCTGCGTCCTTTACCACCCTTGCAACTCCCAACCCTATGATTACGCTGTGGTTGAAACTTATCTATGTTAGTCTCCCATTTGTCGCCACTTTCACTTATTAGGGAAGGAGGAAGACAACGAATGCTTGTTTAAAAGTAAATGAATTTAGTTTATGTGCGTAAGAATGATCTTTAATATACGTGTTAGTTCACTTATTTTTTATATTTAAAAAATGAAAGTTACAATTAGAAATTTTCTATCAAAGTTCTACAATGTTTAACAGTTTACGCTTTGCTTTTGCGCTTTCGCTTTTATAACCATCGGTGGCCCAGCAACGGGTCGAATCGCCGCTCGTGGAAACCTGGACAAAACATGCCAAACTCTTCAGATGAGGTTGACCATGGATCAAGGAGGTTAGCTCAACAAGAAAAGGGATGGCGGTCCCAACCGTCGCACTACTTCAACAAAGAGGCTCAAACAAAAAAAAAAGATATTTAGGAGATGACTTCGACCCTAAGTCAAAGAAACCTAGTCCTAGTCTGTTTAGGAGGATTTTGGCTGATTTACCCCTATAAATAGGAGGCTAGGCTCATTAGTTCACTAGACTGCACAACTACATTCAAAGTTTTGTATACTATGCTCGAGTAAGAGCTTAGTGCTTAGTATCATCTAGGTTGTTAAGAAATTACCCTCTAGTGATACCCCATTGATGCTACACGAGTATATAAGGAAATGATCAACCATCTATACCTCGATTAGTATCAATGCTTGATGTTAGATAAACAATTATGGCTCATACAGGCCCACACTTAATCGTGTGCTATCCTAACTTCCTTGTTCTTCATTAATTATGTAATAAAATGAAGCGAAAGCACACATTAGCTAGATAAATCTTTATTGAAAGAGGCACATTGATTAAAACATTTTATATTTATTAGGAATTAGTAGTAATTGTTGGTTTATTACTCGGATTAAACGCATCAGCCATACTCGATCGCGTTCCGCTCAAATGCACGTAACATGTTGAAAAAACACGTCAGCCTCCTTATGGCAGCGTTTCTCCCACAAGCCTGGTCCCGCTTCCCAAGAGACTCTCCACCGGCACCCGACATAGATTAAAAATGCCAGCCTCAACACGACCACTTTCGCCCTCAAGCTCAGTCTCGTCCCCTGTAGATACGCAGTGGCACCCGACATCGAAAAAATGCACCAGGCTCCTCACATCACTCACACCTTCCATGGATACAGTAAACTTTTCACAATGTTATCATATCGACTTTAGTTAAAACTCTAAAATCGTGGGGGCCATCTCACCTAGAACATCGATGGGCTAGTAGTGAGCAAAACTCAACGAATTTAGAACTTTATGTCATGACGTTGAAAGCAAAGTGGTGGCGACAAAATTGCAACTTCACAGTGTCGTACAAGTAATAAATTGTAAGTAAAATTATCGTTCTCTTGGGGATTGGTCAAATTCAACAATTAACAAATTTAGTTCGAGAAACTATAGAAATTTCAATGGTTGTAATCAAGTGATGAGTTGCAGAAATACGGAAATTAACAAACTCCAAAAATGAAGTACTTTTGAGAAATTAACTTTGGAGAGTTCCGGGGGAAACACAAGATTTTACTATTTATCTCGGTAAATTTAATTGCCCTTGCCAATCAATTTAATCCATATTTCTACAATTGGGATATCTCTATATGGATAGCTATCTCTATCGAGAATTACCACGTACTAACTAATTAAAACAATTTCTACTACCATACTTAACTCAATTAATTAATTAGTCTTAAGAACGATATCCTTAAAATAACTGCATAATCTCTATTTAATCCACTATCGCTTTAATAGTCAATTATGTTTTGTGAAATATATTCGGTTACTAAGTCATAAGTTTCTTCTTTGCTCTCAATCTTATTGATGATATTTTTTGTAAATGATGTCGCATATGGATACTGGTTGAACCGCTATCTGCATTACATAATTGAGGAGTGCATTGAGCACCGAGACTGCTAGTGTCACTCTTCCTGCAAGGGATAGACTCCTCGCTTTCCATCCTGACAAGCGCTTGTCGATTTTCTCGATAACAAACTTATAGGTATCCCGAGTGACCCGACCATGGATGACTGGAACACCAAGATAGCAACCCAGGTTATTTGTCACCTTGATCCCCAGGATGTTGCTGATTCTTTGCTTCATACTTTCTTTCGTGTTCCGAGAGAAGAAGATGCATGACTTGTCCTTGCTAACTTGTTCTCTGGACACCGCACAAAAGCTTTCCAGGAACTCGATAATTGCTTTACCCTGGTTTGGTTTTGCCTCTGCGAACAGGACAAGATCGTCTACAAAAAACAAATGTGAAAGTGATGGGCCATTCTTGGATAGCGAAATAGGTTTCCATAAACATTTAACTATAGAGTCTTTTATGCAATGGTTAAGTCTCTCAATACAAAGAGTAAATAGATAGGATGAGAGGGACATCCCTGTCTGAGACCGCGGGTGGGTTGAAACTGTTTAGTATACCCTACATTCCAAAGCACTTGTAATCTAGTAGTTGTCACACATGCCATGATGATGTTGACAAAGTCCAGGGGAAGCCCGCCAGCCTTGAGAGTTGATTCCAAAAAGCTCCACTTTACTTTGTCGTATGCTTTTGCTAGATCGACTTTCAGTACCATGGTTCCTGTGTGTAGTGGCGGACCCAGGATTGTTGAAGAAAGGTGTCGCCTAATGAAGGAGTATCGGCTATAATCATTAAAACGGTGTCGGCAATCTCGTAGTAAATTTTTTTTATACCAAAAAATATTGGTTATTCGCAAAATTTTTGGGGCAAGGGGTGTCGGACGACACCCCTTCCCAACAAGTAGGTTCGCCACTGCCTGTATGCCCAGCCTTCAAAGACATAGTGTGTACGACCTCCTGTAAAATGATGTTGTTATCTGTTATGTGCCGGTTTGGCACAAAACTAGATTGGTTATGGTCGACGAGCCGAGGCATGAGATTCTCCAACCGGTTGGCCAGACACTTCACTTTGGCTTTGTAGCTAACATTACACAATCCAATCGGCCTGAATTGTGCAATTACTTTGGGTTGCTCAACCTTTGGAAAGAGCACTAGCAGGGTTTCATTGCACAACCTGATGCGGTCTGGAGAGGAAGTGGGAAACAATCTGTAGGCCCAAAGAGGAAGGAGGGCTAGGATGGAGATCGGCTAGAGCTCTCAATCTAGCTTACATGATGAAGCTCGGATGAGCCTTCCTGAATAACTCGAAGGAGTTGTGGGTGCGCTCCCTACAAGGAAAATATTTTAAGGATGGTGGTGTTGAGGGGATGGTCATGAAGAAGAGTAGGCAATCCGAGTTTTGGAAAGGGATTGTGGAGGCATGGCCCGCTCTAAAACAAAATAGCATTTGGGACATTAGAGGAGGATGCAATGTGCGATTTTGGACGAATACGTGGCTTCCCGATGGCACAACTCTTCGCGACCAAGTCCTAGGTGATGGTGATGGTGATGACATTGATTGGGAGGCCTCAGTGACAGCGTTGACAACGGATGCAGGTGAGTGGGTATGGGAAGAAATTAAACCTCATCTTTCTCACCAGGTAATTGATATGATTGCAGGTATGGACCCGCCAAATCCCGAGTTCGGAGAGGACATAAACTCTTGGGGGCCTGAACCGGATGGACGTTGCAGACTTCGCTCAGCCTACGCAGTAGCAAGGAAGTGGATCCAGGAGAAGGAGGAGGAGGAGGAGGAGGAGGAAGAGGAAAGCAGTGTCGAGAATGCGACCAAGTGGAAGAACTTATGGAAGCTGCAAGGGCCAAATTGGATAAAGTACTTCCTGTGGCTAGCTTGTCATGACCGGCTGATGACAAATGCAGGAAGGAAAAGAAGAAAGTTGACCAGCGATGACTTATGCGCGCTTTGCAAACAAGGGCAGAGACTACAGAACACATAATCCGTCTTTGCCCGAACTCAAAGCAGGTATGGTACGGACTTGGACTTCAGGAAAATGCTCTTACTGTAGGTCTTGTCTTTCACTACAGGAAAAAGATCATTTAATCATGGGAAATCCTGTGTTTGAAAGTGTGTTTCCCGTGTTTAATAATTTTAAACACGGTAAAATTACCGTAATATATACCTCCGTGTCTAATTGTAAAGGTCACGGGAAATTGATACCGTGACTAGTTATAACTCATCACGGTATAATTTCCCATGATAATTTGTACCTATTGATCACGGGGAGCACCATGACTAATACCAAATTTTGAACACTAAACCGAGAAAAAAAACTCATTTAGAGACGGGATGTTGACATTTTAACACGGTATTTACCATGATAAAATCATTTCCTGTGACTAGATGCCAATCACTAGTCACAGTATTTGATTGGCTCTCCCGTGTCTAGATAATAACAATTGATCACAGTATTTTACTATCTCTAATTATCAATTACTAACCACCATGTTTTCCCATGATACAATTGAAGGACAAACTCTTATAGCATCAAATTCTTACATTATTGTCAATACAATTAGTTCACATACCATTTATTGATAAATATTAATTAATACATAATTGAAAAGACTAGTTATTGTTGATGAAATATCGATATAATGAAAATCAAATACACATGATCAAAAGTTATTAGAATATTTGATCTATACTTCTACGAGATGTTATTGAGTAGCTGCAACATCCATTAACTCCCATACCTCCTGACAAAACATAGTAAAAAACTTCAATTAGACCCTATGTTTCAAACATAAATTTGTCAAGTGATAGACAAACACTATATATTACAATCAACATACTACATGAAAAATAACCACAAGATGCAAACTGCTATTCCATAGAAACAAATTGGATATCAAGACATAACCGGATTGTTTTTGCCACTTGTCATGCAACCTTACTCATAATGTCTGATGAGCAAAAAGAAAAGCAAACACATACAATCGTCTCTTCCATACTCGTTATCCCAAGCATACAGTGACTGTAGTAGTATCTTCGCCAGTTGATAGTATCCTACAACATTTTCTGTCATGAAAAATAAATTAGAACAAAAAAAGAATACTTAGATAACAAACAACAGTAACCATACTAATCTACAAAGGTTTCAGCACCTCCAGAGTTCAGCTTAAGAGATGATTCATATTACTTTTTGAATTCAAAGTATGCAGCAAAATTTATTCTGAATCGTAAATGCAGTTATTTCAGGCTGTAGATAATTATAATACATCCTGAACTAGTGTTAACACAACAGACAATTTTTTTACAACACAAAACAAAATGAACTCTTGGTCAAACACGTACATCTAATGAATTCTAAGCTGCAGCAGTAAGGAAGTTTCATCAGATGAAATTTTAGCAGCACAATCAAGCAGAGACTCTAAAACACTAAGGAAAAACTCCATACCAAAGCTTACAAGCAAGAGAGAACGTGACCCAGAATTTGCTTCCAATGCTAGCTTATTAGATTCTGGAAGTAGGAAATGTGCTTCTGTACTCCAATGAACTCCAGCAAAGTCATTCATAATACATGCTCGACTAATCCAAAAAACTTCAGAATGCTTCATCGGCCACAAACAATACGCAGCTTATTAGCAAACTTTAATAGGAAAAATAACTGATATAAGCCAACAAATACAGTGAAGGATTGATTAAAAGGAATAGATGGTCTCTCACCTCTGGTTTCAAACTCTCTGAAACCAGTCTTGCTTTGAGTTAGAAGCACTGGGTTTTCCAATATCAGTTCCAAGCACAAAATTCCCATAACCATACAGTCTCATCAGTTATGTTTTTACCTTTCTGACGCCTCCGGCTTGGTTTGTGACAAGGCCAACGAGAATTCCACCAAGGGCGTTAGCTAGAACAGGAATCTATAAAATAATAGCAACCAAAAGAATTCTTAGAGCCAACCATCAAATTGTAGAAGGATCACACATTAGAAAATTTCACAAGACACGTCACAACTCATCCCCTAAACACTTCAATGAGATTAATGTTACCTCAAAGTTCTGTAAGCACACCAGACAATGCTACCAAACATCTTGTTTGTCACAACTATAATAGAAAAAGTTACTATATCAACGAGCTACACAAATTACCAAGGTTAATGAAGTCCAGTCATGAAAAAATCCGAACTTCCTGATTGCTTCACCATCCGGAGACTTTGTCATGCTAACGAATAAGCACTGACAGGCTTCCAATAATCGACATCTCAATTTTCATGAGGTATGCCGAGTGTTTCTTGACCTGTGACCAAATGAAATGGTAATGTAGCATGTCCAATGAATAAAAATGTTGATGCCAACAATTTGTAACAAACATGAGAAGCCCATTGACACAAGGATGAAGCTAAACCAGAGAGAACTGATGCAACCAATACAGGCACAATCCCATAGAACAAAGTATGATCAGGGTTACTTCTATTACTTCCATATCAAGTTAAGAGGAAGCCAATGCAGAGCTCCACGTTTAGAGTTCATGAACTCTTTAACAGAGAAAGAATAAAACTAATGGCAGAATCTTTGACTGGGCCATTTTCATCAACAAAATTGATATTCAGCAAATGAAACCCTCGGGATAGACCAGAAGCATTATTATATCAACTATTCAGAGGGTAGGAAACTTTAATTCTTGCGATTGCTCAAAACCCCCAATTGACTCGAAGCATAAACCTAAATTTTTATTTACAAATTCAATAGTCAATCAAACATAATAGCTGAATTTGAGTATAAAAAGAGTGTAGAAATCAGTGTAGGGATCAAATCCACGTTCAACTGGAAGGACAAAGGTTTAATTCAGAATAACTTATATAAACGAATGCAATTGAAAGAAAACTAAAATATCAAAATTTACGCAAAACAAAGGCAACCTTCCTCGTCCTATTGACCTTATTCTGCCGTCAGTCATCGTCGCTGGAGAATCCACTTCCAGAGCTCCTCCCAAACTTTCCCGCGGGGTCATCCGGTCATCCCCCGTTCATTGATTCAAATTTTGCAACAAACAAAATAAATCAAAGATCAGTAAAAGAATGTATGCATCTACCAAAAGTAATAGATCTAGCAGAGTTGAAAGATAATAACAAACCTTAAATTGTGAATCAAAGGGGAATGTATTTTTTCTATCTTTCGCCATCATTTTCGGTGGAACAGAATGGGAGAAGAGTAGAAAATAGAGATATTTGGGAGGTGGCTTGAGCAAGCGAGAAGAAACTTGGAAAGAGAGATGAGAGAAGAGAGAGGGGAGAGTGGGTTTGTCTTTGTCTAGACTTTTTACATCTATACTTCAAATTTTTCTTAGTAAAGCAAATGGAGGGAAAGCCAAAATTTTAGGATTGTTGGAGCCATTTTTCGAAGCCAAAAATTTAGGACTGTAGGAGACCAAATTTTTGGATTGTTTAGCGGGAAAAAATAGCGGGACGGCATAATTGCTCCACACGAATGTTTAGATAAAATAGTAGGAGTCTCAATTTATTAATTTAAAAATAACTGTAAATTTATAACAAAAAAAAAAAGAACAATAACTATAAACTTTGAGACGAGCTGTGGAAATTTTTGGAGTCTCATTTCTTGAGTTGTCTCATTTAAAAGGGAGAAAAAATTGTATTGATTCTAAAACTCCCTGTTTAGAATAATGAGGGAGCAAAATTTATTACTTTACAATTTGAAATTCATTTTTTTTTAATAATTTTACTTGATTTCACTTAAAATTTACAAAGCTAAATTTGCACATTATTCACGGTAAATAACCATGATTAACAATTAATCACGGGAAATAAAAAGTGAAAAAATATAAATTAACTCCCGTGATTAGATGTACACTATTAATTACTGGACTTTTTCCTGTGTCTATTAGTATACATTTTAGTACGGGAAAATTTCCCGTGAATAAGATCCCGTGACTAGAAATATGTTCTCCTGTAGTGTTTGCAGAATGGCTCGGAATGCATCTAAGGAAGGATGATAGTGGGCTGCTGTTTGGAGTAGTAGTATGGTACCTCTGGAAAAGAAGGAACGAATTGGTGTTCCAGGGAGTGAAGCAGAACGACGTTGTGCTTGAACAAAGAATTAGAAGTTGGACGAACACAATCAAGCAAGCTCAAGCGGACGACCAACTAGCCTACACAAATGGAAGCCATAAGGAAATGAAAGATCTTTCATGGAGCCCTCCACCGCTCGGTTGGGTTAGTGTGCAGACAGACGGCTCCGTTCGGCAGCCAGGATCCCTTGCAGCAGCTGGCGGATTGATTAGGGGTTGGACAGGGCGTTGTATTGGAGCCTTTACCGAGAACTTAGGGAGTTGTATGATCACACGAGCAGAGATGAAAGGAGCTATCAGAGGTCTTCAACTAGCATGGAGTCAGGGGCATCGAAATGTACATCTACAAATGGACTCCACCACAGCCATTCAAGTTTTGACGTCGGATGAGCTAAGGAGCCAGAGATACTCTAATTTGACTAGCCAATTCAAGAGTCTTCTCCATAGAGAACGGGGAGGTGAAAATCTCTCACATTTACAGGGAATGCAATAAGGCAGCAGATTACCTTGCCAACAGGGGATATCATGCCAAGTTATGATACGTTGATTTTAATGTTTCGGATACAGGGCTCTCGTTTTGGATTTTGTATGTCTCTATATGGGTATTGTCCAAACCTGTTTGATTTAAGTGTCAGGCAGGGACGCCCTTTTAGCGTCCCATCTTTCTACCCAAAAAAATCTTATTGATGATAAATTTGTTTAAAAAACCTTTTGAAATATGAAAATGCGAAAGTCTTAAACAACGGTATCTTATTTTTATTTTTCAATTCTCGTCCACCTCAACTGAAATCCTGAATGCACCACTGGTTTCGGTGGTTTACTTGAGATAGATAATATGTTAGTATCGTGGAGACGAAAGAGCTAGGGGGAGTAATGATGATAGACATACATAAGGTGGGATACTGCCTGAATTTCCATTGCCAACCATGACAGGCACTAACCTACACCACTACTACACTGGCTAGCAACGAGTGAGTGAAGCCATTATATTATGGAGGTGGATATGGATGGAGAGAATTGTCGCAAATCTTCTCAATGGAATCTTGGCCGTGGTACGGCCGACAAGCCATGATAATAATGAAAACATTTTCTTTTTATAGATAAAAAGTGGAGAAAAAAATGGAAAGGAAAAGGGAAGTCGTCAACTTTGTTGTAATAATAATGAAACACGAGCCATTATTAGTCACATAAATTACATATTTTGATTATGATGTTCCACCGGAACAGTGCGAATCATGTGTGATTAAGACCTCTTAGAAAGAACAGTCAATTATGACCAAAGATATATAGTACGTAGTAAGAAGAAACCATTTTTTTTTTCTTTGGGAAAGAAAGTGAAAAGCAGTATATGTTTCTATCCAACCCAAAACAATGATAACAGTAGACAGCATAACATGTATGTTTCCCAACTGTGTCTACTCCTTTACGCTTCTGCATTAAATAAAAGATTTTAATTTCCTGCGTATATATGTTAATTGTTTATACCACTAGTGGTAGTGGAATTACAATTTGGTGGATTTACGAGCGAGGTCACAAATGAATTAAATTAATAGATTGGTGGGTTATATTGGTGAATTCATAAATTTAGAGGATGGACTGAAGATGTGTTAGGGGTGTGTCCCGAGACACACCTTTAAAATTTAGAAAAATGATTATCCAATTCTATATTTTTCAATAGGTTACAATTCTAATGGTGAAAATTTTATTCTTTATCCACAATTATTTTCAAAAACTATCGATTAAACTCAATCACTGAGAGATTTGTTGCGTAGTGCAGACACCCAGTGAATTTTACAATTATTTTTTGAAAACGACTAAAAAACGAAGAAGATACCATATGGTATAGAGTTGGTAACGAGAGATATGAATTTTTTTTTCTCAAACAATATTAAAAATTGATATCATTTTGTAGAGCACAACGAACCCGTTCCATCTGGCAAAAAAAAAAAAATTTAAAATCTGAATTAGAATGAAGAAGATATGATTCAATCAAGAAAACTAGGAAAAATAAATCCTTTTAATTCTTCACCCTAAGATCTACAGCTCCTTAAAGAAAATTTCATATTTGATTTCTCATAATTATTCACCTTAAAGTTATGCACCTATATTGAGCCTTAATTTATAGCATTAACAAACCCAAAAAAGAAACAAAAAGGAAAAACAGAAGAAGAAGATGATGAGAGGCCACTCGATCATTAGGTGGCTAGGATAAAATCACAACTGCATGCATGTACCGTTAGCCCCATAAGCCGCCATTTTGAGCTCGCGCTAATCCAAACATTCAATCATTTCTCCATAATTAATTAATTAATCTTCAACCACTTTCTAATTATATTATTCTCTCTCTCTCTCTCTCTTTCTCTCACTCACTCTCTCTCAATATACATATATAAAAGTAGATAGAGTAGAATCAGTGAAAATAAGCGTTGTTGGTGGTGGTAGTGCAATTGACATTCTTCAAGTCATGACCATGATGATGACGTGTCTCCTCTTCCTCCTCGGACGGCTGCGGGACGACGGATGGGAGCTTGGAGAGCAAGGCTTGGAGGCTGCTCATCGAAGGAGCTATCTTGTACGACCTACTATTACTATTCATCATCATCATCTGCTGGCCGTCCACGTAGAACGACTCATCTGCCGGCGGCAGTGGAACTACCGGGCCGCCGCCGCCGCCGAAATAAGCAGCTTCGTAATGGTGAGGTAGCGGCGGAGGTGGCAGCATCGGGTAAGCAGCAGAAGAAGAAGGGTGGGGCAGTAATACTCCTGGAATGCTCTCTATGTAGCTCAGCTTCTTCCTCAGCGTTACCACGTAGCTCAAGTCCTCCACCACCTTCGGTCAACAAATTGAGGAGGTAAGGAAGCGGTTAAGATCGATACATGAATTTCTCCCAACAAATTGAGTTAGCGAAATATGTACGCAAAAGTACCTTGTGGACAGCACCAAGTTGGACAACACCTTCTCGGACACCAATCAGTGCTATGGTCTACCAAACCAAAAGTCCAAAACCAAAAACCAAACACAAATCAAAAAGAGAAGAAGAAAAAAAAATGACAACTGAGAGCTAGCTAGCTAGTGAGATCTATCTATTTATCAATCAGTTTTACCTTTATACCAGACTGGAACTGGGCTTCCCATGTTCTTGGCTGCTGTAAATACACATGTAAGAAGAGAAGATGATTCATTTTTGGCATCAGGAGTGGATGGACACTAACTAGTTTTTGACTAGCTAGCTAGCTGGCATGAAATCTGAGAGAGAGAGAGAGAGAGAGAGAGAGAGAGAGAGAGAGAGAGAAGAAGGATGGATGCATACAGAGTCAGGTGAGTTGTGCCACGTAGACAAGAAGTTGATCTCTTGCTCATTTGCTTCTTTGTATACCCACTTGTGGCTGTGATCTGCTGCTACTTTCCCTATCAATCTGCCAACAAAGAAAAAACCCCATTCATAATTTTCTCGATCTCTTCTAGTTGCTTTTTTCTTTCCAACCGGACAGAAAATAAATTTGTATATAGAGATCGAATAAATACCCTTCTCCATAGTTGTAGATTTCATGGGACATCTTGAAGAAGAGCTCAGGCTGCAGCCCTTGATGATGATGCTGATAGTGCTGCTGCTGCAACTCATACCCAGAAGCAGAAGCAGAACAAGTGGTGGTGGTGGTGGTTGGACATTCATTATTCATGTTCTCTGCTGTTTCTGCTGCTGCAAAGTTGCAGAACCCATCTTCCCACACCAATATCCTGCTCCCCCCACCATTATTTCATCATCATTCAATCTCAATCATACCCATATTTACTATGAATATCCATATTTATTAATGGATCTTATATCAACCATCAACAACATTAATGATTAATAAAAGCAACATATATAAATATTGCATATATTATTCCAAAAGAAAAAGAAGAGGTACCAATTCCTCCTGTTGCCTCTGGACCGGTCATACGCTCCTTGCCCATCCCATCTGCAATAGTATTTTATATCAACCACAACAAAAAAAAAAAGGAAAAAAAAAAAGAGGGAATATATTATCATAATGTGATTAGATGCATTTGATCCTACAACTGCTACCTAGATAGATACTGTCTCCCTAGAGAAGACGATCCAAGAAGAAGAAGGGCAATGGGAAAATGGAGAAAATAAATAAATATATTATATTAACTCAAGTAGTAAAGTAATTAGGTACTTGGGAGGGGGATAGTTTCTGGGCAAGATCCTCCAGAAGACAGCATAAACCCACTGAGAGGTTTCATGGTTGCACAAGCTCCTCAGTGTGTGCTGAAGCAGATGAGTGATGGCTAATGGGCTCAGATGTTCTTCCATTTTCAACACCACAAGGAACAAGAACAAGAACAAGAGCAATCACCTTTCTCTTTCTTTCTTTTTTTTTCTCCTTTCCTTCTCTTTGTGAGAGAGTGGGATGGGTTGCCTCTCACTATTACCAACACTAGTTAGCTAGCCAGTACTCTTTCAAAAGAAGCTAGGCAAACAACACCCAGCAGGCTCTACCCTGCTTTATATAAGCCCCACCCTCCACCAAGAAAGAAGGAAGATCCTTATCATACTTTTTTTTTGTTTATTATTTATTAGAAAAATGGGCACTAGGAAAACAACACCTCTGCCTAATCATGATTATATGCAACCCGACTATGGTGTTCAGTACTGTGCAAACACGCTCATAGGGTGCCTAGTTATCGTATCGAGCTTTGGGCACTCCTACAATGTTGGATGTAAGCGATGATAATATATTTACAAAAATGTCACTGCTTCCATCCAGAAAAATTGGTATGATATGGATTCAAAAAAAATAGAGAAACGATGAATTATGATTGTGTCTTCTAAGAAAAATAAATACAACAAATTTCTTCTTTTGTAGAATTCCAATTTATAAATTATTGATATAAATCATGGGGGAGGAAATGTTTTGCATGAAGTAATGAAGCGAGTTTTTTGAAGAAAAAAATTCATGTCGAAAAGGGTGTAATGGAGTTTTATTATAGAGTTAAATAAAAGAAAGAGATCATCCATTTCATTAGTTATCTGAATAAAACTAAAGAATTTGGATTATTGAGAATCCAATCATCTCGTCAAGTTAGAAACATAAGCATGGTCATTGAATTGAAGTCTTACAATTTCCATCTTTGCGATGACATTTTCACAGTTTCTCTTGTGAGCACGATAGCAAAATGACTTATATGGATTTGGACTTTAAGATCATGAATATGTCTTACATCAAACAATAAGATAAAGTTAAGCTAACATGTAAGCAATGTGCTTTTACGCTTGCGAACCCATAAATATTGTAGCTTTTGTTCAAAAGCGCTTTGCACCAAACGCTCAAGCAAAAGCCTTTAATCCTAATAAAAGCTTAGAAGTTAGCTTTTAAATGGCTCTTTAGGCTTTTGATACATGAAGGGGTGTGCAATGGTTTGGTTCGAATCGGACCAGACCAAACCTACTGCGATCCATAAGAAGAAGAAAAATGAACCAAGGAAAAAAATAAATTTAAAAGCTACTTTCAACCTGCCATTTGCCCCATTTCCCCTTATTATTAAAGTTTGTCTAACCATCCTTATAACTTCATCATTTATCGATGGTTCCTCTTCTCATATTTCTTTCCTGAAATCAAGAGGAAGATGGCGAAAGCTTGTTTGAAAGTCTATTAATTTAGTTCATGTGTGTGAGCGTGATCTTTAATATATGAGCTACTTCACATATTTCTTTATATTTTAAAAAATAGAAATTCTGATTACAAAATTTCTATCAAATTTGTTGAATGAATAAAAATTTAAACTTTTAAACAAAGGTCCCTCTCGTCAGTAGTAACCTTCCTCTTCTGTTCAAGGACTACTCCTCTCCTCTGTAGTGTGATTTCATCAGTACACCAACTTTAATTTCCCCCTCTTGGGGTACTGAGTATTTGGTTTTTTATATATTCTTTGGGTTGGGGATCCCTCTATAACTATAAGTACATACTATGCCCCTATTTCAATTATGATCTTCCATGAAAACCATAATATTAACAGCTACCCTTCGGCTTGCAAGTCAGAAGGTACCTTAAGTCATGTTCCTATCTCTTCTCAAACTCCAATGTGCGGTCTTCTTCTTTTATTTTTTCACTTCAAACTATTGATTTTCTTAATGTCTTCTAAATAAACCTAATCGATCATAGTGCGAAACCCAACTCATTGCAATTAATTTTGTGTACTTTTGTTGAAAAGCATGCGTACAAGTTTCTCTTAAAGGTTACACCAACTAATTTGTTTGGACAAATTAATCCACTTTTGAATATCACTTGTTCGAATGAAGTTAATTTTTCTAAAAGGAGAGTTTCTGAATCAAATGTTCCTCATTTCAGGAAAAAAAATAGTTCAGATTGTCATCTTCCTCATTGGATATTCAAATGTTCACATGTTAAAATGTTCAATATTTCAATCATTCATAAACAAAATGTTAAATATTTTTGCATTAAAAAATATTTCTTGCTACCCAATGAGACATTCATGTACAAATACCTCATTATTTCTTGCTACAAAAGCCAAAAATGCTTCTACATACAAAACCAACTTCAAAGATATGGTTGCATGTAGATAATATGATTTTCTATTTGGTTAATAAAATTCAAGATGCTACTGTCCCCGATTTTTCCACTTTACTGCGATTTCTTAAGCTCTCAACATAATATGAAAGTCTAGATAAATCAAACTAAATTGATTCAACGAAATACCTCTTCCAAATAACTGTATTATTCTGTCTTCTTTTCACTTAAAAAGTAATCTCATCAAAATTTTTCCGGCAAAAAAGAAATGCATGCAAAAGGGGGAAAGGGAAAGTGATGAAGGATAACAATTTTTCCCTCCCAATGGTGATGATGTCTCTGTACATATTACTATACAATTCTCATCATCTCTCTGTACGTATGCCAATAATTCGAGTACTAGATAAATGGCCCGCGCTATGCAGCGGGTTGTCGAGGAAAAAATACCAGTCAATTAGCGTGAAAGACGTTCATCTTTCTTAAATTGTTTGGACGTTCTTAGAGTTCAAAAAAATGTTGTAAATTTTTTATCTTTAGAAATACCAAAATAATATGGGATTTGAATTATTGAGTATGAAATTATAGCGCATGGTATGGTGCCAACGATCAAAGTGGAAACTCCAAATTCTAGTGCTTTTTATATGAACAATTTATTTTGGTATGTAACTACGAATTAACAAAACTAATCAAATCATATTGTCTTCTTTGTAACCGTAGGAATTATAGCCTTATTCAAAATTGAACATAGTATTTGAACTTTGGTTATCTCAACAAAATGTAAGTGAATCCTAATTGATTAAGCAACTAAATTCACTAATTAACCATCCCAAACAAAATTGACACTAAAGATATCAAAATCAATTAACAAAAAAAGTATACTAACAACAGCTAAAAGGTCCTAAAGAAAGATGAGGTTGGTCGTTCCATCACAATATGGACAGTCTTTTAGTTGACAAAGGTATATTAAAATTTGTGGCATGTGAAAATACATAACTTCAGCTCAATTTCCATCATCGACAACATTCTGCAGTTGGCTTCTCCCCTCTGCAGAAAACACAAAAAACCTGCAAATAACACTATCAAAGTCCAGAAGATATTAGACCTTTTATCATTTTTATAATTTCATTTTTAAAAGATTTTGAACCTGAATAATTTGTATCCAATAAAGAGAACATCCTATCTTTCTTTAGGTTAGCTCTGCATAAGTATATATTGTCTCAAGGTGTAATTATTCACTGGATACTACACGCTTCATTGGTACACTGCAATGCCTACTAACCATTCCACTTTCAACATAAGGGGAACAAACTATAGCTATGAAGCAAGAATCAACACCTCTGAGATATCACTTTTCTTCCAGCTCCAGAACAACATTATAGGTCCAAAACTGCAATCAAGACAATTAAAGAATATTAGCATGAGTCTCAGCTTAAACAGCTATACAACACTTAATAAATCTAATCTATTGAAAAGTTTACCAATTTGAAACAGACCATTAACAGCTCATTAAGTGGATGAATAGTAACTGAAGATAAAAAGTGGAGAATAAAAGAAACTGCAAGATAGATTGAGCTCTAAGGAAGAATTATCTGCACACAATACAATCTAAAATCCCACATATAACCTGCTTAACTTTGTCATTCCCATTTGCAAGATTCCATCTCCCATTTATTTTCTTTTTAACCAAATATAAGGGAAGATAGACAGGGATAAATAGATTTCATTCTTTATGTCATGGAAGGATTAGGAAGAGATATTCAAATTGGAATACCAATCTCATGGAAGGGGCATACTACCAAAGCATCCATGGACCTGACATCTATACCCCATGGATTCTAAAGTGTTCAAACCAAGCTTTTGTCAACCGTTTGTTTTATCATATGAAATCCAAAAGGAACATCCTCAAGCTCAACTTATATGCATGGCAAGCTAATTCATGGTCCTACTCTAATTCAAGTCAAGGTAGTAATCAGGAAATTAGAAATTTTTAAATGACATGACCTTCTTACGTTCCTCTGCCTCTCCATATCACCGTCAGAGTGAATCAAACTGTTGAGAGTGCATTTTGCTGGGAGTAATGCCACGATTACTGTGTGTTCCCAACCAACCATCCAGCTTGTACCAGAACCACAAATTGACTTAGTTGTATAACCAACTTCTCTATACAACTGCGTTTTTGGGAACACTGCTGGCTACATGAGCAGCAGAACCCTTATGAGGAAGAAATGGGGTTATCAACTAAACGATATTATGCTGACATAACTTAAAATAACCAATGAGTATGAAAGAATGAACATCTATGCAATTTCTTTGTGTTTTCAAATTCTCTATGTTATTATTTCTGCCTCAAATCACAGCATATCATTAAACTGCTGCCGTTACATTGGAAGCACCAAGTTTGTTGAGAACATACTGCTGACCAAGTCTTTGAGCATTAGGGGTGGCTTAAAAACTACTCTGTGAACCTTGTATTAGTATCTAACACATCAGATGATCAAAATCAAACTATCTAGCTGCAATCATCCTAGTAGAGGTAGAAGCGTTAGTAACAAAAGACCATATGTCGAAGAGCCACCAAACTGTAGTAAATCATTCGGTTTTTCACCCAAGTATATCTCTCTTCCCATACAACAAACATGGAATTCATAACCTCCTGATAAGTATGGTTAGATGGTGGAAAGGGTGAATTGGATTGTAATTACTATTCAACACCATGTGATTCACCCAACTAAATTCATTGATCTATCAACCGAGAGCTAAGCTAGTCGTATTAGATCACTCTATACTACTTCAAAATAAACTTTTCTAAGGTAACTAATATGTAAAGTTCAGTCCCTGTGATCAAAGAACACCCTAATCTATACCAACCAATTGAAAGCTGATGCTGAAAGGAAGATAAAAAAAAAAAAAAAGCAATAACAAACCTACACTACTTACGGAACACAAATG